TACCTCTACGCCACCGGGCACCTTTGAATTCAAATATAAACATTAAAAACATTTACAGCAGAAAAGGCGAAGGCGCTGGGTTAAACGTAGTCTACTAAAAACACGGAGGGGCGCTTTGACCCAAAATTTTACTATTAAGTTTCATACCTATCTTAATAGTAGATTATTTTCTTTTATCTATGGCTAAATATTAGGCTTTCTCTATAGATACAACTGACTCAGCCAAGCTGTTGCTAGGATATTCTATTAATTCTAATTGTGTTTTTTTAAACATTATAAATGATCGTAAACTAAAAAGTATGAAGTGTAATTGAATCTATTAATGTATTCCATTAATTGCGAGGTTCTGAAGTAGACTTTATGTAAATTTTATTCATTTGAAGCTCCCTCGTATATGAAATAGAATACTTCACTATTGACTAGTTTCTTTGAAGTTTGACAGAATGCAGAGACTTTTATCAAGAACAAACATTTCTAAGAAACCTATAATAAAAATATCCTAGGATACACTGCAATATAACGACAGATGTCCGTTGACAGATGTCTAGACACGGCGCGCTTTTTAAATTTACTAGAATCAGTCAAATATGCTGACGATATATCATTTATTATTTTTAATATCACGAAGGTAAGTTGGTAGGTAACTATTTAAATAAAGCGGGGAAAAGTACTCTAACAATAGAGTTTACGATTTTCATTTAAAAGTATTAAATTTCAGTTCTTTTCGCTAACTAGACTTATGGGGCATAAGGCCGACAGCAGCTCTGGCATCTTGTAACAGTCACTCAAATATACAGAGTGTTTCAAAAAACATGTGCCATCTCTCGTGAAGAGATCTTTCCTTACGTAAAAATAAGATTTATTTTTCATATCTGATTCAGGTCCGATTCTGCTTTGTTTCGTAGCTACAGGGTGTTAAAGTCTTAATAATCTTTCGATTTATTATAATTTTCTTCCAGGTACATTTAGTGATTCCAATAAAATTTTGAGGGTAAAAGTTACTATATAAGTGCTATACAGACCGGACCACCGTAGTAGTAACATAGGCAGAACCGGACGAATTAGCGTATACCCGTCCAACGGATAAAAAGTAGGCGAAAAAATGCGATAAAATAAAAATAGGTAGATATGTGATAAGAATGTTTCATAATTTGTATTTATCCATGTTTTAATAGCCAAAACGAATACATAGATTCTCTCGACAGTTCTCGTGTAAAATTTATTTTTTAAGTAAAATAATGGATGTTTACGAAGTTCGTGAAAAAATTCAAATTGTAACATGGTATTTTCAAAATAGGTCTTATCGGGATATACAAACAATTTGTCCACAAACATTTGTAAACAGGGCAATTCTATCTTTACCTACTATATCAAGAGTTATTAATAATTTTGAAACACATGGGTGCGTGTCCCCACAAAAAAACAAGAAGCCTGATGCGTTGATTAATGAAGAACAGGAGTTAAAACAAGTGTTTAACCGTTTAATTAGTGGATATGGAACTATTTTGTGGCCCGCTAGATCATCAGATCTTTCTCCCAATGATTACTTTTTGTGGGGTTATGTAAAACCCAAAGTGTATGGTCATAATAGCGCTAATAATCTGGATGAGCTTCAAGTAAAAATACGAGAGGCTTTCCAAACTATTAGCCCTAATATGTTAGCCAATGTCAGACGGGGATTTTACGACCGCCTAAGTTTCTGTCTAGCACAAGAAGGTGGTCCTTTTCAACACTTGTTATAACTTTTTTTTATTTAGAGTAATATTTAGTTTTTTTTTGGGTTTAGAGAATTTATTTATTTTTAGTTTTGGCTTGTAAACACACTCAAATAATAAAGATTTAAGTATTTTTATTTTAAATGTTACCTCAAGTGAAGGTAAACACTTAAAATGAAAATAATAAATACTCGGCACTCCTCGCGTCGTATTCCTAGTCTGTCACGACCGATCCGTCCAAGCACAACTGCAACTGCGTACTGCCTGACTAGCCGACTAGCCTGCAATGAATCTCGAGTACGAACGCAAATTGGGTAAACGTAAATTCGTCCGGCAACTTGCTATGTTACTAGTAGCCTGGTCTTCTCTGTATATTTTAACGCTAAAGAAGTGTTGATAAATTCATCAGTGACGTGCATAGGGGATATCACTGGAATATTTAAAAAAAATGTGCGCCACTGATTTTTTCTTTTGATATCAAAATTGTGTAGGTTGTTTAATGCCAATTAAAAGTTATCTCTTAATATTTTGTCGAATTCGGCGTCTTTGATGAGATAAACGCAATTTTATTAATCACAATAATTATTAATAAAATTAAAATAAAAATAAAATTAATAAATTATATATTTTACCTAATTTATTACTAAATATTATTACTATTAGTTATTATTACTATTAGTCTAACCTATAGCAATTTCAAATAAAAAAAATAATGGCATTTAAGATAATTACAAAAAACCTAATTTTAAAAAGTTTTAACATCCTGTAACCAGAGTAAGTAGATCGCCGAGTAGCGACAGAAACCGTCGGCTCTTTTGATGTGGTGGGACCAAATTTTCTTTCTCTATCTTTTGACGTGTTTGACATCTAGACTACGTATTTAACTGCTCAACTTATGAAGTGGTCTTATAAACATGGTATACACTGCTCATAATTTGAAGTGGAATTAATTATAAAGTTTTATACATATTTTTTTTTGTTTTGTTTTATCCTTATTTCTAAATTTGAATGTATAAAATATCTTATAGCTAATAAATAATTAAAAAAACGATTCGTTGCCTGAGGTATACTTGAAATAAAGTATATAGAGATATTTGATAAATGGCAACAGTGGCAACTTCGTTTTTTCATATGACAGATAACCTACTTATTTCGCGCAGTCGCAAAGAAAATTGAAAACGGGACTGTCGCTACTCGTCGGTTTACTTACTCTACTGTATGTTGCTGCTAAGATATGTTGAGGGTTGAGGCTTCTTTTGTTCAGTTTGGTACACTATTTCTTATAATAATAGCTCCCGTATATAGCGTTTAACGCCTTGGGAGTAGCAAGGTACAGCTTGCCATACTAGGGCCGTTCGGTATACAAGGAAGGTAACGTGGCTAGCACTACGCTTCATCCGCCTATTATTACCTCAGGATTGTGAATCCCAAGTACTCATTTAAGGCTGAGTCGACCTAGGTACCCAAATTATTTTTATTTTAATAAAAATAGTCGGCTGATGAAATGCCAGGCAATCAATGAGTACTTATTTAAAACTTTCGCAAGTTAATGATATTAATTTTTTTTAAAGGTTGCTATTAGACTTGGATCAAGGCAAATTAATAAAATTGCCTTTATCTCATTAAGGAGGCCAAAATCGAAAAATATTAAGAGACAACTTTTAATCAGCATTAAACTGCTTCCATTATTTCGCTAAGAAGAGAAGAAAACGTCTGTGGAGTACATGCATTTTTTAGAAATATTCCAGTGATAATCTCTGGTATAATAAATTGAAAAAATATTAAGACTTTAACACCTTGTAACTACGAAACAAAGCAGAATCGGACCTGTGTTGATATAAAAAATAAATCTTATTTTTACGTGAGAAATCTCCCCACGAGAGATGGCACATGCTTTATGAAACACCCTGTTTATCAACTTTATTTCGTAAACTCAGTTTTGAACTTATGAACTTTAGTATTGGGCTTTATTATATAGGGTTTATGAAATGGTTAATTTTTACTGAACATAAACAATTTGCATCATTTTAATAAGTTAATATTTTTTTCTAGAAAATAAAATAAAGGAAGTATAACTAGAAATGTAGATAAACGAAGTGAGTATTTTGAGTGACTATTACAAATAAACTCATGCATCCGATAAACAAAAATGTCCAAGCGTATCTCAGCCCCAAAGACAGTATTTTTATGTATAAAATACAATTAATAATGGATCGACGGTTTATACCCTCCCTCGTACAAACAAATTAAAAAAATACTAAGTTACGTCTACAGATTAAAGCTTGAATTATTTTAATTTTACAGATGACTTAAAATTGAGCTGTACTCAAATATGGCACAATATGGCCCATATGGTCAAAATTTTTAAAGTTCTATTATAATATATTTAGGTTAAAAAATCACAATGTTTACGGAACATCTCATTGTAGAGGTCAGGGGTACTACAAGGCAGGTCGGTGGATGATTGTTTTTAAGAATTTTGGGCAAGGTACTATATATTTTGATGGACATAACGTTTAAAAACTTCTTCTATGAGTTACTGTTTTTATGGGACTTCAATTTGTGTTATTACAAAATGTTTATTTTTAGATGTTTGTTCATGACATGAAACATTTTTCATAATACTAGAAATCAGGATTACCACTTCTTCATAATGTAATATACCGTGCTGGCAACTCTTACTTTTGGGTCGGTATTTACATGTGTGACGGTGTGCTGTTGCGGCGTTGCCATATTTCTCAGGTGCGCCTTTCCCTATCAAGTAAAGTAAAATCACGATCGCAAACCGCTTATTTTTAAAAGATTTTTTTTTCGAAAATATAACTAGATAAAATCATTAGATATGTTTCTGAGCATCAAATGGAATTATAAGGATATCGTTAGGGTGTCTATTTTTTTTATAATGAGAAAACGTCAGTAATCGCGATAATTTAAAAACTCAACTTTTTAACACATACCTAACATGCGATAACTCAAGAACCACTTTAGATATTGAAACTTCTTTTATATTTTGAAGTTCGGATCTTTTGCAAGATGTTTAAATAAGAAAAATTCGATAAACTTGTTTTTTTTTCATTCAAAATTAAAAAAAACATCCATTTACTTTTGGTGCATAGCAATTTTCAGCAATCGTGTAACTTTTTTATTTATAAAGATTTTTACATACTGTCTGCGAAGAAAATATAGCAAAAAGTTTATGAAAAAAAACTACAATCAATTATTTCTAATAGATTTCGAGATATCGATTTTTGAACTCAGAGTTCTAATAGCGCGACCACTGTCGAACACCAACTCAATTCCACATATTTTTACCAAAAATACACTTAAAAATTTACAAGCTATAGAGAAAATTACAGCGACTCGTTAATAAATAACACAACAAAAACAACAAATAAAGTATCACAAGACGTAATTATATCGTGAAGCTGAACCCGTGTACATCATGTTTTCTTAGAGTTTTAAGTACCGATCGTACTCTTGGGTCGATCGGTCCACCGCGACGCACCTGTTGTATCTCCTTCGACGTCTCTTAGCAATGTGCAGTTTCTCGGTTTATTTCATACGTTTGGCAACGTTTTTACTGTTCTATCTTTGTTCAGTACATTATAAACGCATTGTACTCTTCTTACATACGGAAACTTCGACCCAAGACTAACTTTTGCCAGCCCTTAGTATGGTTGGACCGTTAAACAATTTTTCTTACTATTTTCTATTTTTTTAATATTATAATTTAAAAACCACTAGGTCTAAACAAACTTTTCACTCATCACAATAGAAAGACGCCACAATATATGGACTAATCAATTTAAAAACGAAAGTTAAAAAGTTATGTTAGGAAATATAAAAAATATTTTTTATAGATAGAAACAATGAAAATTAGATTAAATTAATTCGAAATTCATATAGTACCAAGCCCAAAATTATTCTCCTTACACCTCAAAACCCGACCCGTTCAGTCGTAGTACCTCTGAGAGCCTTGGTACTCTGCCCGATCATCCAGCTCCATGGCGCCGAACCTCTCCAGCAGCTCCTTCCTGTAGTTTCTGCCCTCGTTCCTACTCTGCTCCAGAGCCATCACGTTGCCGTGCTGCTGCTTCCTGGTGGCGCCCGTCGAACTACCGTACCTTCCCTCCTCCTCCTCCTCTTGGCTGTAGCCCATCATCGTAACGCGCTCGTCCCTGTAAGCTCGAGGTATTTGAGGCTTGTAGTAGACGGCGCCTGCGCCGATCAATGAGGCTGCGCCTACAACAAAATAATGAAATGATATTGACGTACATTGTAGGCTGTGGGTAGGCTTTTAGTCTTCCACAAAAAGCAAGATCAAGACCAAGACTAACGTTAGATTTGCAAGACCAAGACAAAACCAAGACCCAGAGTGTAAGGCTTGTATTTTTCCCTGGGTCAATAATCTAAAGTAACAATATCAATATAAAAAAGAAGAATGAAATTATTGGGCAAACCTACAGTAAGATTAGCCATGAAACATGACTAAAACATGAGTACCTGTAGAGGTATGTAGTTGTTAGTCATGTTTTAGTCATGTTTCATGGCTAATCTTACTGTAAGTTTGACCAATAATTTCATTCTTCTTTTTCATTACAGTCCCCACAATAACATCTTTTGAATGTCAATATAGTTAATTTTAGTTACATTATTTATTATAAACGAGTGTTTATATATTTCCATATAGCGTATACAGGGTGGTCCGAATTGTATTCCGGAAACATCGACGGCACATTCTGCAGATAAAAATAAGTAAAAAAGTTCGTATAAATGTGTGTTGTTTCGGAGATACAGGGTGTAGAAGTTTCATTTTTTTGTTTCGATTTTTTCCAAATAATTTGTGAAGTAACGTCAATATTTAAATGAAAATTGGTGTCTGGAAGTTTTTTGACATGATAAATTTGATTTTGACGTCAATATGACTTCTACTTGTAGGTGGCACCACATACATATGTTTTAACTGTTTAAAATAATAATAACTTTTCGTCGGTACCTGTATAAAACTACTGAAAAATGTATATTTCTGTGATTTTTTAAGTACAAAATGTCTCTTGGTAAAAATCGCTATGAGCAACCGTTCTTAAGATATTTAGAATGGTAGTAGTCAATCTTAGATTTTATATACTTAGTCAATACATGTCATTATTGACAAAAAATAAACATGTTGAGTAGATAGTTATTTGATTAAAATGGTAAATGTGGGATTTTTTTTATATTAATCATAAATTTTTCCTTGAAAGAATGATGATAAAACAGTTTCTATTGAACTTTTGGCACAAAATATTTCAAATTTATGATCTCAGTCTAAGATTAGCTATATAACTATTTAGTCAACATGTTTAATTTATGTCAATGATAACGGGTATTGATAATTTAGATTCCAAATATCTCGAGAACCAGTACTCGTAAAAAAATTTACCAAGAGACCTTTTTTGCGTAAAAATCGTCGTAGATGTATATTTTTTACCCAGTAGTTTTACAGTAATACAGGTACGCTAGAAAAATTATTATTCTTCAAACCAGTTAAAAAATATGTAGGTGACGCCCTCTACAAGTAGGAGTAGTCATATTGCCATCAAAATCAAATTTCTCATGTCAAAAAACTCACAGACATCAATTTTCATCCAAATAAAAATCGAAATATAAATGAAAGTTTCACACCTTGTATCTCCGAAACTAAGCATTTTAGGACATACATTTACACGTTTTTTAATTATTTTTATCTGCAGAATATGCAACCAAAGTTTTCGGAATACAGTTCAAACCACCCTCTATTTTAAGTGATTTGTTAAAGTACGCAGACAGCTAAATATATAGTTTTAGTTTATTTTAACTGGTCACATGGGTTTTTCTCACTAATAAAAAAGTGTATTTTTAGTTTAAATCTAAAGAACACAGATACGTATAAATACACAACACTATAAAATGCCACAATGTCAAAAAAATTTTAAACCCTCAGCTGCTGCTGGGGTATTCTTGGACTATTAACTTCAAGCTAGTCCTTAAAGGATGTGTTATCAACTAACGGGCCCGATTTTTATTCGCTACTATCAAACCATCTTCCACTACCAGATTATTTACATTTGCTTATCACTAGTCCTACCTGGATGTTTGTTGGCGCCGACCGGCGATAGTTCGTCCTGGAGCTCCTCTGCAATGGGCTGTTCCGTAGAGAGCCTCCACTAGATGGCGTTGAGCGCCTTGCGGGAGGCGCTCTTGTGCGCCGACGCCACGGCCGCCGCCACGCCCCCGTACTCCATGTCGTCGCGTCCGCGCAGCCTGTCGCTCGGTCGATCTCGGTAATCGTCGGCCGCCGCGGGCAGGTGGTGATGCGCAGAGGCGGACAGGTGATCCTTTTCCGAGTAGTCGTCGTAGTCGCGCTGATCGTGGCGCGGCGCGACGTGGTGCGCACGAGTCGCTGTGCGGTGGTGGGCCGTGTGGAAGGTGGTCACCGCTTTAAGGGAGGAAGTCAAGGGTAAGTACCTCGTAAAATCACATGAATTTGTTTAATATTGACTACGTGTATACCGGCTAATTTCAATCCGATTGAATCGATCAGACGCAAATAATGATATACCCAGCGGCGAATAATACCTCAATGTGGTACCAATGTGTTAACTTGATCCTCTTGTTTGCTAGGATTGAACATACTCAAAGGGATCCAAACATAATATTATTTGTATTATTATTGTATTGTATTTGTACTATTTAGAAGCGCATTTCGTGTTTTAATTAGTTTTTAATCCTTATTTATAACCCTTAAATCTTGAAGGCAAAAAGACGAATAATTTGAATCTTTTCCGTGTTGAAAAATTGTTGGTTAGGGATCTTTTGAGATCAAAATACTTTAGATGTTCCAGAGCTTATTAGGGGAATCCAAAAAGTCAGGTGAGAACACTTATGAGAGTAAAGATACTTTCTCGGAATGCCATTCAAGATTTAAATGGCTATAGACATGGAATTCAACAAAAGCCAATCGACTTAATTGGAGTTCAAGTTACCGATAAATACAAGAAGTCATTGTCTTAGTAACACCACAATTTAAAACAGAAAACAAATATCAGGGCAATTCAAATAATAGACGGTAATTTTTGTCATAAATACCTTCTAGAATTTATACAGGTTATAAAAAATGTACCAAACTTCAGCCTAATAGAACTTAAACAGGACATGTCCAAATATGCTTCCTTAGAAAGTTACCCGTAAAAGGACAGATAAAAATAAACTTTTGTCTATTTTTAAGAACTTTAATAAACCATTTTCCTTAAAATTTCGTACTCTTGCACAGATTTTAATGGTAAAGTGCATGGCGATAGTGTAAACATCCGTAACATTTCTGAAAAGGTAATTCTCTTTAGAGGATAGTTTCTCACAAAACTTTTTTATCTTGATAATTGTTACAGTAATTTCAACATACGACATAAAACTATAAGACTATTATAGTAAGAAAGATACTCTTTGTTTAGGTTAATAAAAAAAAGTTAAAAATTTACAAGATATGTTGAGGGTTGAGGCTTCTTTTGTTCAGTTTGGTACACTATTTCTTATAATAATAGCTCCCATATATAGCGTTTAACGCCTTGGGAGTAGCAAGGTACAGCTTGCCATACTAGAGCCGTTCGGTATACAAGGAAGGTAATGTGGCTAGCATTACGCTTCAACCTCCTATTATTACCTCAGGATTGTGAATCCCAACTAGTCATTTAAGGCTGAGTCGACCTAGGTACCCAAACTATTTTTATTTTAATAAATATAGTCGGCTGACGAAATGCCGGGTGTAGGATTCGAACCCGCTACCTTGAGGTTGGTAGATGAGAGCCTGTACCTCTACGTCACCGAGCGCCTACCCTATTTCTTAACACCTTGTATAAAGGATATCCCATATTCAAGGGGTAACTACTGACATCTCGGAAACCATTTAGATACGAGAAAAGATCTAAACAAACTCTTTTCCTTGAGCTAAATAATTATTTACGCCTTTTTCATAATATTAGATTCTATGTTAACCACTTCTTTGTATCAAGTTCTACAAGGTTTCAGCTAGTGGACTACTTTTCTTAATTTTTTTAATAATATAATAATTAAGTTATTTTACTTTACAAATTAAGAATTAAAAAAAAATAGTGCCGCTGGTTCATTCTCAAATTTCTTGATGGTGTATCAAAGCTTTGCACTGTTGCCATTTCTTACAATGCCCACTATTTTGCATATTTGTGTGGTTATAAGTTCAAACTAATTTTAATTTTCTATAGATTAAAATACGAAAATCAATTTTAATTATATTAGTATTTTTTTCTAATAATTCACATTAAAATTTTGATGTATAAGTCGGTCATGCTTTCGGGGAATGATAGAGGACGTCGAAATATTAATTTTGATATAGCACACTATGGGCCGGAAATGCCTCTTACGCAAGATACAGGGTGTTAAATTTTTGAAAAACTAAAGATATTCTTTAATAGCTTTTTAACAGTTGAAGGTATCGTTATAAAATTTTATTATAGGAGTCTACCTAACAGAGACACTTTAAATGTAAAAAGAAGAGGGTTTAGTTTCAACCAGTGGCGTAGATGTGATACGTATCAAGTAATATTTCAAAAAAATACGCCACTGACAAAAAATATACATTTCAGAGTTTTTTTTATTTACCCAGTTTATTTCCAAGAAAAAAATGTCTCTTGCAACTTTCTCCTATCTGACACCATTTTGTCACAATTTAAAATTAAATAAGTACATTTTTAATGAGAACCTTAAATAAAGCGAATTAATAACTAGACGTTTCACATCTACGCCACTGGTTAAAACTAAAACCTCTTCTTTTTACATTTAAAGTGTCTCTGTTAGGTAAACTCCTATAATAAAATTTTATAACGATACCTTCAACTATTAAAAAACTATTAAAGAATATCTTTAATTTTCCAAAAACTTTAACACCCTGTATTTTGCGTAAGAGGCATTTCCGACCCATAGTATAGTACACTATGGTATATATAGTATACTATAGTACTAATCAAAATTAATATTTCGACGTCCCCCATCATTCCCCGAAAGCATGACCAACTTACAGGAATCACCCTGTATGTTGTGTTCTAGTGGACCGATTTTGATGATCTTTTAAGCAAACTGTAGCTAAACTATTTGACTTTTTAGTATCTCTCTCTAAATTAAAAATTGAAAGTTCCCATCTGTCAATTATACGAGGGAACACAAAATGTTGTTATTTTGGTGAACATTTGGAATATCTTGTAGGATATATTACAATAGCAAGAAATTTTTCTGACATATCGGCTTTTGAAGAAGACACTAACATTTTTTTGCACTTTTTGGTTCATCTCTAACAAAAATAAAGCTATGGAGATGAACCAAAAAATAAACTATCGAGAAAGGATGTAAATAGATGATAAAATGATTTTTGAATTCTGTCTTTCTGTCTTAGCATATTCCAAAGGGTGTTTAAAACTACCAAAATATCAACATTTTGTTTCCCTCGTATAATTGACAGATGGAAACTTCCATTATTAATTTAGAAAGAGATACATATAAAAAGTCAAATAATTTAGCTACATATTGTTTCAAAAATCACCAAAATCCGTCCACTAGAACAAAATATACAGGGTGGGCCACTGAAAACTTACAATGGCTATAATTTTTAAACCAAAAAAGATATCAAAAAAATAAAAAATACCGTTTCTATAATATCGAGGGGGAATACATATGACGTATTTTTTGAACCACCCCGATCTACCCCTAAGACGGCACCCCTATTTGAAAATTTTAAATGGTAATACCCCACTTTTGGCGCCTTTTTGGAAGGGCCATGAAAAATGCTAAACGGTGTTCATAAAGCTTTTAGGGTGAAATTGAAAAACTACCCCTTACACGAAAAATTAGGTGGACATTAATGAAAAAAGTGATTTTTTCAGCATAAGTTACAAATTGAGCCCCAGCTAAATGAGGTATTTTTCAAACCACCCCAACCTACCCCTAGGTACCACCCCCTCACTTCTAACCTCAAGATAGCGATACCCCACTTGTGACACCTCTTTGGAAAGCGTATAAAAAATGCTGAACAACTGTCATAAAAAAGAACGAAAAAAATGGAGCTAAAAATAAAAAAAATGTTAAAACATAGAATGAATTATTTTTGTATTCATGTACCATTGCGAAAAAAAAACTGGTACAAAAAAATTATTATAACTCTTAATGAAGACCTCATACACCTTCAGTAAGATGGAGCCCCTCCGCATTATTCTATTGTCACAAGGCGGTGGTTGGATAAATATTATCCAACGCAATGGATTGGCAGAAGGGGTCCAAAAGAGTGGCCGCCTAGGTCACCTGATCTCACTCTAGACTTTTTCTTGTGGGATTACACTAAATCCATAGTCTACAAGACAAAACCAGGTTCGTTGCAAGAATTGCGGCAGAGGAGAACTAAGCATGTCGAAATATTCCGAGAGAGACTTTCCAAAAAGTGAGAGAAGAATTTGAAAATCGTTTGTATTTTTGTATGCAACAAAACGGCTGTCATTTTGAGCAATTGTTAAAATAAATTATCATTTTAAATTTCTTTCAAATTGTCACACCTACATTTCTTGTCACTAACCAGTAATTAAGTTGAAGTCTATATGACCATCGTTTAGCAATTTCAATTAGCTTTCCAAAGAAGTGTCTCAAGTGGGGTATCGCTATCTTGAGATTAGAAGTGAGGGGGTGGCACCTAGGGGTGGGTTGGGGTGGTTTGAAAAATACTTCATTTGCCTCATTTAGCTGGGTCCCAATTTGTAACTTATACTGAAAAAATCACCTTTTTCATTAATGTCCACCTAATTTTTCGTGTAAGGGGTAGTTTTTCAATTTCACCCTAAAAACTTTATGATCATCGTTTAGCATTTTTCATGGGCTTTCCAAAAAGGCGCCACAAGTGGGGTGTTGCCGTTTAAGATTTTCAAGTGAGTAGGGGTGCCGCCTAAGGGGTAAGTCGGAGTGGTTCAAAAAATACGTCATATGTATTCCCCCTCGATATTATAGAAACGGTATTTTTTATATTTTTGATATCTTTTTTGGTTTAAAAATTATAGCCATTGTAAGTTTTCAGTGGCCCACCCTGTATTAAACTTATACGCCAACGTTTTAAGGTGCCCGTTTCTCGTGCCGCTGAGTGTATCTTAGTTGCCAACAAAAATATTTATTGAGCTAAAACATTTATACCTTTTTCATAATATTAAATTATACGATTCGCCGTTCTTCATAATAAAGTTGAACCAGATCTCAATCCGTAAACTACTTTTCTTACCTTTTTTAATAATCTAATAATCTATTCGATTATAATATTTCAGTCTTAAACAAATTCTTCATTCGCTAGCACTCAATATATCATAATTAAAAAAATAAAATTTAAAATTACATGAATTTCACAATTACAAAAAATCTAAAAACAAAATTACAAAAACA